TTATTTTAATTTGACCAGAGAGAGAGAGAAAAAGTGAGAAAGCAAGCCACCAGGTCCAGGACTTGAACTGTGTCAGCCATGTGGGAGTATCCAGATCCTTAACAAACACACCACCTACTGGTCCCCTAGACTCCATTTCTTACCAGGCAAATGTCTCTTAAGTTTCTGGCTTAAGTGGTGATTGTAATTTACATGTGGGTTTAATTGGTGGCAGACTGAACTACTTGCCTAGAGTTTTATTTGGTCACAGTTACGTGTCTCTTAATAATAATTAATGGTGTGGCGCTATTTAAGTACTTGATTTTTATTGTCATTTTCTAATTTCATTTTATAAATAGACCATTGTCACCTGTTATATAAATCTGTTCTTAACATTTAAAAAAGATTTCACTGCTGACATCTGTAAAATGTGCATCTTTTCAATAAGTAAAATTTACATACAGCACTGAGATAGTGAAAAGAATTACATTGGAAACAATACTGAACAAAATTAACAAAATTTAACAAAATTGTCTGAGATAGCCTTACAGTTCTTTTTGTGTAATTTCTGACAGATAAGTGAACCTACTGCTTTTTATGCTCTATCAGAGAGAAAGGAAAAACTTACAATGAATGACTTCCTTTCACTTTGTCACAAACGTCTTTGCAGAGAAAAGGGGTCATGAATAAATGTATAGTCAGAAGCAGACAACACAAAGACCTGAGTATTTCAGCCCTTGTGACCATTCCGTAGAACTATGGATGGTATTAAATATTTTCTATAGAGAGGGAGAACATGTATTTCCAATTAAACAAGAAAACTCTACCATTTTCTTCTTACCTAGTATTTCTGATTCTGGATAACATTTTGAATCCAGTACTAAAGTATTATTATATTGAGACTAACAATACAAAACTTGTTTGTGTATCAACATCTGTGTTCATTTGAGGTTCTATCCCCAAACTCAGAACAGGCATTTTGAAGTACTTTTTGAGATAAATGATGACCTCTTGTTTGACCTAGTATCCTAAGATGAATGGCCCTCCCAGTGGCCATTTGTTTTATTACCTACTAAGGAGATTATTGAGGCACTGACTAATTCTGAAGAACATTTTAGTGAATTATAATTGGGATTGTGGTTTACTGAGTATGAAGACTGACAGGCCATTCCTTAGCCCTGTAATTGATTTAGAAGTAGAGAAAGCACCCTGATGGTCAGCATTCTAAAAGGCATAATCGAGCCAAAGATTGTATTATTTTTGTCAGCCATTTCTATGTTTTACTTTTACTAAGGATGGCATTGAATGCCACCAACCTTTGGAAGGGAAGTCTTGTTCACATCCTGTTCTGCTAGTCCATATATCAAAGCACCATCCAACACTGCTATTCCCTGGCATGGGATATCTCATTATAGTCAGTGAGTCACAAAATAGTCCAGGTAGAGGGACCGAATGCAGAATCGCGGGCCAGACACACAGGCCACATAACCAGTTACTCCTAGAAGGGCATACTCTGGTTCTTTGTGTTCACTGGATGTATTGGAAGTTTTGATGTATTTATCTACTGGTGTTCCTGAACCTTCTGTAAGAAAGGACAAAACAGTCTAACATGTAAATAAGGAAAACTAAATCTAAATAGGCCCACAGGTAAGTAAGGACTTTGTTCTTAAATAGAAACTGCTGGATATTGAGACTCCTACTTCTTTGTGTGTATTTTCTTTCCGATATTGTTATTAAGAATGGATTATTGGTTTGGGATTTGCTTTTACTTTAAGGTCTTTTGAGTATTTTTCTCTGTAAGATAGCAGCTGTGTGTATGTGTGCCTATCATATATTAGTATAAAAATAAGTCAAGAAGCTGTGGGTTTTTGCAAAGCAAATTCAGTACCTCTAGTTGCTTCATGGGCTCCTGGGTCTAAGGACTCCCTAAATTTCAGTTCTTAATCCCTTATGCTCCTTTTCTTGTAGTCTGCGTGTAGTCATTTGGGCACAGCAGCCAGCTCCTTTAAATAATCTCTTCTTCGTATCTCTGATACCTTGCCCTGATTTTCTCTTCTGACTATTCTTTCTTGGCTTCCTTTAGCTTCCTTTGCTCTGTCCAGTCTCTAAAGGTAGTAGTTCCTAGAAGGCTTGGTCTCAAACCCCTTTTTCCTTCTATGCTATGCAAGGAACCTAGCTCCACCCTGCCTCAGGACCCTCACGCATATAGTTTTTTCTTAGAACTCTCCTCTGTCTCTCCTCTTTCTAATTTTGACCTCTTTTTCTTGCCCTGCTCCTATCTATATTACTAAACCATTTGCTCTTTCAGATACACCCTGTGCTTTCCCACATCTGTTCTTCATACTCAGGTACATTATATTCCCTGCTGTATGTTGGCCAAATGCTGTTTTTCATTGCCCAACCAAAGAGCCATATTAATTAATGAAGCTTTCTGTAATCACCAACAATTTTTTAAAAATTCTGACCAGTTAACATATTCCATATCACTCACAGCCCTCTTCACATTTACCTCCTATTGTGAATTTTGTGTATGAATATATGTATTCTATTTTCTACTAGTGTCTAAATGCCTCACAGGCAAGGGTCTTATCTTTAACTAAATTGTATCTTCCACAGAACATAATACAGGGTCTTATACATAGTCACAATAAGTATATACTGGGATAAATTAATAAGAATAGTTTGTAAATCAAGCAAGAGAAATATATACATTATAGCTTCCTGAGACTCCTCATTCTCATTTCAAAAGAAAAGGAACTTGGAGTCTCTGGGATTATTGCCCTGGGCCTCTAAAGGCTTTTTATCTGTGCTCAGATACATAACTCTGGGTAAACTTTATATCAAACTGTCAGGCAAAGTAGGCTGCTAGAGGTGGTCTGGGAAATATCAAACATTTCTGTTACTTTGCTTTCCTAAGGTGAAAAAGGGAGATAGCTTCTGTTTGCTTTGAGCTTTTTGTTGATGGTTTTCTACTTTGCCTACTAATCAGGGTTGTATTATTTACCTTATTTAAAAGGATCTATTTGAATATTTTTTTCCCTCCTTTGAATTATAGTTGGATATAAATTCATTGCTGCAGGATACATTGGTAAAGCTTTTGGAAATTGCAGGGAAATGTTTCTTTAATCCCTCAAGTTTATTAAGTGCTTTATTCTAATAGTGATCATAATCTCCTAGTTGGTAGGAGAGATGAAATGCCTACTGGGGATATTTTTCCCTGGCTGCAAAATTGCTGTATCAGAGATACTTTGTCCAGTTTTTTAATCTTTTCCACATGCTGTAAAGTCCTTAGGAAATAGTAGATGGCACAGATTTCATGTCTTTCATAAGGCATTGAGCAATGTTCAGGTCACTGTAATTCACATTGTTAGTGGCTTTGAACCTTTGTAGGTGTATCTTGAAAGAACTTTGCTTTTGTAATGGGCATACACACATTCATAACTGTTAGAGTACTCATATAAGGCTGTGATTGGGGGAAACATCCAATCTTTGACTATCTTGACCAGTCTGCATAAACTGCCAATAAGCCAGCTAGTGAGGGGTGTGAAGAGACAAAGGAGAGTGAACTTTCAGGCCATGAATGTTCATATCTTCCAGGTTTGTTCTCCTGCACAGATTTTAAGGGTCAGTTTTGATTCACTCAGCAAATTAAGTTCCCTGGCTGACTTTTACATTTTATTTTCTGTTGCTTTTTCTCATATTCATGAACTTCTTGATTTTTTTTTTTTCTGTTTGCCAGGAAACCTCAAGCTACAGCCTACCTTAGAAATGTAATATTGTTGATGTACTTTCTATTTCTGTAGTATTTATGATATTGCTTGTTGACAGTTTTTATTAAGTATTTATGGCTTGTCTCAGAGTGCTGAGAAGGTGGAGAATATCCAGGTCCAGCTAAGGGCATAAGATGAATAGTAATGCTTTCTCAATCTAAAGTGATAGTATGTTAAGACTGGGGCCAGTCTTTTCTAATTTAACCTGGGATCCATGGTAGTCAAGGTGTCCCGGTCCCATTAATTTTCTCTGCTTGGCACTGTTTGACATTATCCTATGTGGAATTGGGGGATGGCCTAGAGGACCAGTTTTCTGTGAATGTATTAGTAAAGACAGTGTCGACTTAAAATGTTCAGGACCAGCCGATGCCATAATGGTTATGTCACTGGACAACCACGTAGTCGACCGCAGTTTGAGTCCCAAAGTCAGCAGCTTAAACCTCACACCGGTCGCATGTGGGTGTGTGCCTAAGATTCCAAGAGGAGAATGGAGGAGAAGGGATTGCAGTGTGGCCATCTCCCCTAGGGGGTGATTTCTCGTTTTCTGTCTCTCTTGTCTCTCCAGCAAGCACATGCACGCTATAGCAAAAATCTCTTCCCCCCTCCCAAAATGATCCCTAATTCTGGGGGAGGAGGGCAAAATGGCAAAGACAGTAGTATAAAAAGCAACAACCATGGGAACCAGCAGTTAGCGTAATGGCTATGTCGCTGGACTCCCACATAGTCGACCGCGGTTCGTGTCCCGGACCAGGTGGCTTAAAACTCATGCCGGGCGCGTGTGCGTGCGTGCCCAAGATCCCAAGAGGAGAATGGAGGAGAAGGGATTGCGGCGTGACCATCCCCCCTGGGGGATGATTTCTCGCTTTCTGTCTCTATGTCTCTCTCTGTCTGTCTGGCGAGCGCACGCGCCCTACAGTGAAAATCTCTCAAAAAAAAAAAAAAAAGCAACAACCATGATCTAGTGTTCAACATTCCCAAAATGAATATTTATCTATGCTTTTAGAAATTAAATTTCATTGCTTGATAAATGCCAATAAGCATTAGCCGAACTTCTCAAACACTTTTAGGGGACGTACACTTTCAAAATCAGAAGTTTGTCATGTATATCCCCTAAAAGAATGATGACTCATGCACATTGACAATGAGGCTCTTGCACCGTAATGCATACATATAGGCACGTGCAGAAGCCCACCGTGTCTAACCAGTATTGCTTCTGACCTGGGAAAATAAACTTATTGTCTTATGTTCTAGCGAGTCGACAGCTAATAGCTCACATTGAACAGTTTTTGGATACTAACGAAACACCGTATTTTATGAAGAGCATGGACTGTATCAAAGCCTTCCGAGAAGAAGCCATTCAGGTAACACTGACCTCACCTGTCTTCTTTTCCTAAACAGTTGGCCACCATCACAGGGGAGAGACACACAGCACCCCACAAATAAGCATGGGCTTTGGAAGTAATCATTCTCATTGCACATGGCAGGGTATGCCAAGAGAAGCAGAAATGACTAAACTCGTTTTACTATCATTGTCGTTTCTGAGGGAAATAACGATTGGTAGGTATGTTGTTTTCTTCTCTTACACGAAAGCCCTTTATGGTTTTATGTTCCTAGTTAGGGAACCAAGGACATTTCCTTTGCAATTTCTGGTGGCCCAATTGTTATTATGAAGGATGGGCTACTTTAGGATAATTGATGAAAAATATACTTGAATATTGATATCTTTATTGGGAAGGATTTTATGAAGATACAAGCATAGATCTGAATGCCAAAAGGACAGAATACTGACAATTAGCGCTCCTGCCCACCTTTATATCGGTTTTTGTTTGCTTATTCAATCTTTTTAGAAAAATACTTCTAAAGGGACCAGCAGTTGGCATAATGGCTAAGTCGCTGGACTCCCATGTAGTTGACCGTGGTTCGAGTCCTAGACCCGGTGGCTTAAACTCACGCTGGGCATGTGTGTGTGTGTGCGTGTGCCCAAGATACTGAGAAGAGAATGGAGAAGGAATTGCAGTGTGGCCA